ATATAATGACCTTTCAATTATATATATACATGCACGTATGCTCTCATTTTCATGTATTTATAAGCTTATGTTTCATTGTATATTTGCTTTTAAATACTTAGATCATACGTCTGTGGCTCTGTGCACGGACACACGAAAGAGGAGTCGGCTGTCAAAGTGCGGATAGATCCCTATCAGTTATATATTTACACTCTTTTTGTGATTTCTTGAAACATCACAAAATTCCAATCAAAAAGCGGTACGCTACCAGGTTGCTTTGTAAAAATATTTTCTGGTTGACTACCCTGGTTTCCACATCTTTAAAAAAAAAACCCCCTCCTACCTCCTGGCTGTACGTAGTGGTACGAAATTCAGAATACATATTCTAAAAATGTACTAAAACACAATATTGGCCAAAAGCCGACTAGCCGCCAAAATTAAATATGTACATGCCTTCTTTTGCTGTACAGAAAAATGTACTTTTTTACAAGATTATAATTACCTGTATGCGCTCTTGATCACCAGGTAATATTTCATAAGTATATATCGTGTGGTTGTCCTCTGGTGTTATTTATTCATGTATTTATATGTATAAATACATACATGTATATCAGGTATATGTATATGTATGTGTATGTGTATGTGTATGTGTACATGTATATGCATATTATTGAAGAACTACCCACAGACCGAAGTATTGTACAAAATAAACAAGTTTGTAGTTTCTACTTTCCTATGTAGTGTTGTAGAGCTCAGAGGACCATCAATAACACAATTACACGCGGCAAAAAAATTGGGTGCCCCTCATCTTAGGACAACCTTTTCAGCCATTATATATGTATACTCTTCTTTGGGGACCAAAAGGGATAGCTGTGTCCTTTTTTCAAGCTGATCTGTATTCAATAAACGGCAGGTTTGTTCGAATGTTACAGGATTCATGTCAGTCATTGAATTCACTTGCATCCGCATATAGACTGTCCGCACATGGACTGTGATTGATGCCACAAATAGCTGTTTCTATTGTGAGTGACTGTGAGACTCGGTTCTGCGGGTAACTAATTTCCTACACCAAGCTTACACATCAGTATAGATATCGAAAGTTTGTATACATATACACACATCAAAATATATTTCATTGACTCATATACATCTAAATAAATATATGTGTGTATAGATTCCTCTCCAGTCTGTTAGTATGTCGCGGTTTTCAGCGCTCCAGCTCGAGAACGTGCAACCAGACCAGCCTCTCAAATACACACAAAACAATGCAAAACAATGCAGTCAGCCAGTTGAAGTGCAGGCTACTACTATGCTCAATAAAGGAACACAAACTATTGCTAGAACGCTCGAAAGCAATACCGATGTATCAAAGATTTGTAGTCAATCTCGCCAAACCGATGGCAACCACCCAATAGCGGCACTTAATTCGGGATTCGATACACCGGAAAGAGACAATACAAAGCTAGATACACATGCAAGCGACACGACAGAGGTTGTAGGAGGGGAAGGGGTGACCGGATCACTCACCGACCGCATGCTAGGCACTGTGCAGGCCTTTTGCACTGTCCACGGGTTGAAACAGAACGACTACGAAGGCAAAGCGTACCACATTCCGGTGTTTACACCCCACGTGCGCATAGTTGATGTGGATAGCGCCCACGCCTTAACCCTGGCGGTGACTGAGATTGACAAAGCATTAGACTGTGGGGATGTGAGAGCCAGGGTCATGTCTGTGGACTGTGAAGGGGTGGAATTAGGGCGGAGGCGAGAGAGCAAGAAGGGGCTGAAGGGCGTGTTGACACATGTGCAGCTGTGCGTCAGCGGCGTACGGAGACCGACACACATGCACCCATTCAGCGAACCCAATCCATTGAACGACAACACTCGGTATGCTGCGAATACCTCGCACAATACAGATACGCTCAGGCAAATCAATGCATCGAACGACAGGACTGCGTGTGTCGCGAATAGTTCGGAGCACTCGGCCCTAGACACTGTGTACATCTTCTATGTGCACGTGTACCCAGAGTGTGTGCCTGCGCTGGATTCCTGGCTGTCCGATGTGTCTGTTCTCAAGGTGTTCTGGGACCTGCGCCTGGACACCGACGCGCTCTACCACCAGGCGGGTATACAGGTGAAGTATGCGATGGATCTGCAGCTGATGGATGTGCTGTACTGCCGTAAGTACCGGACGATGAATGTACGTACCAGACGCTCCATGGATAAGGCTGTGGTATTCTACCATGTGCGAGAGGCTTTGGCCCAGGGTGTGTGGGAGCGTTTCCATGGGAATGGTGCTCGCTTGTCGGAAAAGGAGCAGAGTGCCACGGATAGTAGAAGTCGTTTTGAGATATTGGATAGCAAGGTGAAGGCTGAAAATACAGCCGACAGCGACGAAGCTCGCTCATTGAGGCGTATTGAGAGTGCTACGGACTGTGAACCGAGTGCGATGATCAGTGATACCAGTAGAGCAGATTTGATGTCGAGTGATCTAGCTACCAAAGGTCTGTCGCATACCGACACACACGGAGGAGGCGAGCATGTCAGCTGTGACATGACCGCGGATACAGTGTCAGATACAAGAGAAAACAAGGCTGACGGGAAGACTTTGGACGTCAATCAGCCTATATCAATGAAGGTACAGCAGATACGCGAAGACATTACGAGCACAATGAGTAGGCTAGCCATACAGGAGGGGCAAGCAGGACCCCACAGTGACCTGATAGTGACCACCAGTGGGGGTACTGGGGTCGACTATGCTTCTGTAGCAAATACCCGGAAGGATGTGCGCTCAGACTCCGTAGGGGAGGGTGATACCGGGAACCAGAAGACACTCAGAGATCTCAATTCTGTGGATCTAGATCCAGATTCATATCTAGATCGCAGTGTCGAGAACTGGTGGCTGTGCTTCGGCACCCACCCCTTACCCGCCAGCGCCCGCAGATACGCGGCGTTTGACATTGTGGCGATACACGGTCTTTGGACTGTACTGATACAGAAGGTGACACTCAAAGACGTCGAGAAGTGTGCCAGGCGGTCGGCCTATGATCTGCAGTACTGGCGGAGTCTCCGTGGGTCGCGTACGGGTGGGAGATCTACGCGCGAGGATTCGAAGCTGCCGGGGCTGCACCAGTGGTGAGGTGATGGACTGCTCTAGGTAGGTACGCGGTGGGGTGCAGCAGATGTCAGCAACGAAGTATAAGGCAATGCCACGGAAACGACAACTCGCAAGGTGATAGGCGTATACCTGCATCAAGGGTGTGTACTAGTGATGGCAGGCGTTTATGTTCGTCGGCGAGACGTTTCGCATGTAGCTTACGGTTGTTCAACAGTCTGAGCAAGTACGATCGCGTGCACGTGGGCAGTACGTTCGGGAGGATTCTCAGCTAATATGGCTACGCCATTGCCCATGGACTACTTATTTCGTCACTGACGACCCTGGGAAATGACGGGGATCTGAATGGCAAACCAGAACTGTAGCAGTTAGACGCATAGTACTGGCCACTATGTGATGCATGTCCCTCGTAAGCGTTGCGAGAAGAAGCTCAGGAGGTTATTAAAGAGGTCGAGAGTGGGGAAGAAAATAAATCCAAACAGCTAGATACTATACCATCTTAATTTTTACGCGTGCGTATATATATA